AATTGAATATTGAGGAACACACATCTTGTTTTCTTTGAAAAGAAAACCGTCATACCTAAAGAACATATCAAAACCCCTATTCTCAAATGCCTCATAAACATTAACAAAATCATGGTTAGAATTATATAAATCTTTAATGTACTCAAAACCCAATAATTTTGTATCAAGTTGAGAAATTATAGCATATCTTATAGAAAGAACATTGGCAACCACATTTTCTTTACCTTGTTTGTACTTAATGATGTATGAAAAGGATTCAATAAACTCCACCAATTTTGTATGTCTACGGTTTAGCTTTCCTTGTCCTTTGAGATATTTTAAGGTCTCATAATCAGTGTGTATAATGAATTTCTTATACTAAAGATAGTGCTATCATGTCTTAACACTCTTACTAAAGCGTAAAACTCCTTGTCATATGTCGGATAGTTAAGACTTGCTCCACTTAGCTTCTCACTAAAGAACGTAATGGGTCTGCCTTCTTGCATTAAGCTCCAATACCTATTCCACTCGCATCATACTCAATCTCAAAAGTTTTAGCAAAGTTAGGTAAAGCAAGCAAAGGTGCTAAACTGGGTTTGTCATTAAGCTAAGTTAAACGCATCAACTTGTTTTCACCCATCTAAATCCCACATTCTGTTTGATGCATTCAGTTAATAATGCAGCAATTATAAAAAAATCCTTAATGAATTTTCTATAAAAGCTAGCAAGACCATGAAAACTTCTAATATCACTAATACTAGTGGGTTTTGGCCACTCTCTAATTACTTTCACTTTTTTTTATCAACATGTATTCCTTTATCATTAACAACATATTCAAGAAAAGTAATTTCATTAGTGCAAAAATTGTATTTCTTTAGATTAGTATATAACTTTTCTTTTCTAAGCATATTAAAAATAGTTTTAAAATGTGTTACATGCTCATCTAAACTTTTGTTATACACAAGTATATCATTAAAATAAACCACTACAAACTTTCCGATGTAAGCACACAAAATATGGTTCATCAATCTCATGAAAGTACTAGGTGCATTAGTTAGGTCAAAAGGCATCACTAACCATTTATATAAATCATATTTAGTTTTGAAAGTGGTTTTCCATTCATCACTCTCACGCATTTTTATTTGAAGATATTCAGATTTTAAATTAATTTTTAAAAATACATAAGAACCATGCAATTCATCCAACATACCATCTAGCTTAGGAATAAAATATCTATACTTTATCGTGATTTTGTTGATGGCTTTGTAATTAAAAGATATTCTCCAAGATCTATTCTTTTTAGGTACCAACAGAACAGAAACTGCACATAGACTCATGCTTTCTCGCACATACCTCTTTTCTACAAGCTCACTTACTTTTGAATTTCATTGGTCTCTTCGAGGTTGCATATATATGCTGACTTATTTGGTATGCTTGCGCTTGGAATGAAATCAATTTGATGCTCAATTTATCTAATTGGTGACAAACCATTAGGAACTTCTTTAGAAAATAGATCCTCATTTTTCAGCAGAAGATCAACAATAATACTAGACAAACTCTTATCAATTTTATTAGAAACAATCAAAACATCCTTGTACATAAGTACAAGGGCTGCCTCATGGTTAAGGCTTTCTTCACATCACTCATTTTGGCATAAAACACTTATTTTTCCTTCACTCAAGCTTTCCTTGTTTTCTCTCTCCTTATGTTTCCCAATACTTTCGTTTTTACCACTCAACTCACCTTATTCTTTTTTCTCTCTTTCTCGCTCCCTCACCAAAGTTTTGGTTAATAAAGACTCAAGCTCCTCAAATTATTGTTTTATGCACATTTGGTCTTCAAAAATTATCTTTGGAGGCAAAGGTCCAAGTTGATATTTTTGTCCATCCATAATCAAAGAATAATGGTTTTTGAATCTATCATGTATTACCCTTTGATCATATTGCCAAGGTCTCCCCAACAACATATGACCAGCATATATAGATACCACATCACTCCAAACTTTATCCTTATAAATCTACCAATTGAAAAAGAAACTAACACTTGTTGATTTACCTTTACTACACCACTATCATTCAACCATAACTTGTAAGGTTTTGGACATTTAATACTATGTAATTTTAGTTTCTCCACAACCAAGGTGCTTGCCATATTTATACAAATTCCACTATTAACAATTGCATTGCATAACTTGTTAGCAACCAAACAATATGTATGAAACATATTTTCACATTGTTCACTATATTGATCATTTTTATTTTGCAAACTAAGTGTGGATTGAACAACTAGATTTTTACCTTTAGCAAACTCTACATCACTAACATCCTTTGGAATGTTATCATCTTCCTCTCTCTCACTTTCAGATTTCATAAGTTCATCCCTCATAATCATAACTCTCTTATGAGGACATTTACGTGCCACATGTCCATGCCCAAGGCACTTAAAACACTTAATGGTTCTAGTTTGATTAAGTTGATTCTTATCTTTACCCTTGTTGCATGATTCATTTTTGCTTTTAGTTTTATCAATTTTAGGCTTAACAATGGGTTTATCATCTCTTTTACTCAAATTTTGTTTCCAAGAAGAAGAAGAACTCGAATGGCCACATTCACCATGTCCTCAATTTTAGGCTTAACAATGGATGAATCATACCTTGTGTCTTTTCTTTTGAGTTGCCTTTTAATCTTCATGGCCACATTCACCATGTCCTCAATCTCCACATAATATTGCAACTCTATAAGATCAGCAATGTTCTTGTTTAATCTACTTAGGAATGGAGCCATGGTGGCCTCACAGTCTTCCTCCACATTAGCCCTTATCATGACTATCTCCATCTCCTTGATATTCATTAACACTTATGGAACCTTATGTTAAAGTTTGCCGCCATGCAAATCCCTATAGTAATGGCTAGGGACAAATCTCCTTCTTATGATTTATTTCATCTCCAACCAAGTCTCTATGGGCCTTTCATCATTTCTATGCTTGTTTTTACATGATTGATCCCACCAAATAATACCATTATCACAAAATTGAACAACGTTTAATTTTACCTTTTTCTCTTTGGAATAGTTGTGACATTCAAATATCAGCTCCACTTTTTGTTCACACTCCAAAAAGACATCTGGATTATTCTTCCTTTGAAAATGAGGAATTTTCATTTTGATGCTGCCTATGTTTCTGTCCATACCGTCAAAACATCCTGTCCTAGTTTGTCTCCTAGGATTAACATGACCAATTAAAGTAACTTGGTCATCATCTATGTCATCACCACCATTATATTTATCATTAACAGAGGTGTCGCCTCCCATGCTATATGGTTCACCTTGTAATCTATTAATTGTATCATCATGCCTTTTATGATCTCTTATATCTCTCGTCACTTTAAACATACGTTCAAATTATTGCTGTATTGCTTGAACTAAAAGATCATTTGATGAAGAACTCGCTTCTTTATCTTTATACATGTTTACAACCTGAAAAACAAAGTTAGAATAGCCTCACCAACATTCCTTCGTGTGTTTCACTCTAGATTTGATTCACTTGTGTTTCACATAATTTTTGGCTTTTCTCATCTCATCACTCTTGCCTTTTGCCTCTTTTGTTTTGTTCTTTGAGTTCTTAGATTAACTAAGGTACCCAAACAAACAATTTGAGAATTCAAATATAATAAAATTGGGCAGGTTTAAAAGCAAACAAAAGATGGGCCAATTTAAAGGTGTGTGTAATGCATTTCAATCATAAGCAAAGATTAGAATTTAAATATCAGTTAAATAAAAATATATTTTTTAGAATGAAGAAAGATTTTCAAATCGAAACAAGAATTTAAATGAACAAAGATAGAATTCTATAATTTGTAAGATTTCCTTGAATCTGTAATTTTTTTTAAATTCTGATCTCTTTTTTTTACCTTTGATTTTTCCTTTTTTTTTACCTTTGATTTTCTCTCTTTTTTTATTTTTTGATTTTTTTTTCTAATACTATAAAGTACGGATATACAAAGAAGAATAGTAATAACACAAAAAGCACAACAATGAATATGAAGGAAGAACAACAATTATAGATATGATGCAAAAATAAGAAGAAGAAGAAGAGAAGAGGGAAATCTAAAAAATAACAAATAAATAGATACGTAAACCTGAGCATACCAAATGATGAAAATCATCAACTTAGCAACCATACACCTCGATAGCTAAATAACATTCATATTCCTAATTCATGAATATAGATCACTTATGAATCTGTCTTAAATTGATTTGAATGATTATTCATGAATAAGCTCACAATTCCTAATATAGTCTAATATGGATGAATAACTTTTATTCTTCAAAATGGATTAAAAATTTGTCATCTCAAAGCTGAACTTCTCTTCATGATTTGAACTTATTTGAATCATGTTGACCATTTTAGGCTCTTCTTGCATCCATAGAATCTTAATCGAGTCTTCACTAGCTCGCTCCTTTCAAATGCATTCAAATAAACAAGTTAAGGCTTCTTTCATCATTTTAGCTTTAGCTTTTATCATTGGTTCTTCATGAATGGTTAAAGGGTCTTTAGCAGAATTATGATCAACTTAAAGGTTCATATCAAAGTCCTTCAAGCTCCACTGCCGTCAGTGGCCATCACCCCTGTCTCAATCGTCGATGTTTAGATCAACATCACGTAACGTCGACCAAGGGGTCATTCTCATCGACCATTACTACAATAGTCACTACTCTCAACGACATCGTCATCTACTATCACCATAATAATCGACTAAGAAGTTTTAATTAGAGCATAACAAAAGAAAACATAATTGAGATGTTAAAATTATCTTTTTATCAATAATTTTTATATTATTTTTGTATATATTGTCATGGTATCTTTTACGATAAAATCGGTGACGTTAAAATAAATAAGATTAAATAATTTATTTTTATAATTATAAAGATTATAATATAAAATTTTTAAATGAAAAGATCGAAATGTTAAGAAGCTCTAAGTATGATAATAATGTGTAATTGGAACTTATTAAGCGACAAACATTTTGCATTTTCCCCAACAGCCCTCCTGTTTGCTTGCGCAAGGGTTCAGTTTTCTTTTTGAAGCCGCTTCTCTTTTCCTCGGAACGGATCGCTCGCCCTTCGCTTCCCTCGCTGTATCGCCCCTGTAGCCCGCAATCGGAACGCCGGAGATGGGCGACAGCCAGTACTCCTTCTCCCTCACCACCTTCAGGTAGTCTTGCCGATTCTTCCTTTCTCGAGCCCCTACATGCTCCAAAACCCTTACGCCTCCATCTTCTTGAATTCTTTTATTCACCCCTCTTGTTCGATCCGTCGGCATGCAGCCCTACGGGGAAACTGGTTCAAATCGAGCACGCCTTAACGGCGGTCGGATCTGGTCAGACCTCCCTTGGAATCAAAGGTATGCAATCTGATATGTACCTCTCTATTCTTTTCTCTACGTTATGGGCACTGTCCGATTTGAATCAACGGTTCAAGATTAGAACCTAGGGCTATCTCACACAAGGTTGGACTGATGAGTAACCGTTTCATGAATAATTTGCCGAATGAGTATTGAGTCTGTTCAAGAGTGCCCTTGGTTTAAATTAGAAATTTAAAGAACACAAAAATTTCTGTGTTTATGGCAAGACTTTGATTGCAGAAATTATCTGATTGATGGAAACCTTGTTAGCTGGTATGCATGTGATTGAAAGTTGTGAAAATCTTACAAGTACTAAGAATTTGGAAAAACTTGCTGCTTTTGTCAGTGACATTATAGGATTTATCGTGAAGAACTTTTGGCATATACAGATAATCTATATTGGTACGTACAGAGATGCTTGATGGCCTTAATTAGTGGTCACATGTGATGATTTTGTGATAACTACTCTCTGGCATGAAGTTGGAAATGATTTTACATCTTTAGACTACCAGGCTCAATAAAAAACTTATTTGTCCAGTGTTTCTGGCAGCAGTATGCTGCTTAAATGGGGTAATTACAGTTAAGTTGGGTGATCAATTTTGATATGACATTTAGTTGGATGTGATCTCAAATTTTTGGATTAGTAAATAAAAATATGATGCACTCTATGAGAAGAATTTTTTTTTTGTATGGAGCGATTGGAAAGAATTGACACTTCTTTGCCTTCTCCTTTTAAAAGTAATGTTTTACTTTTAGGACTTGTCTTAGATGTAGATTCAATATAAAAGATACAAAACACTTATCATTTCTTTAGTATACAACATTTGTCATGCTTCACCTTCATAATATGTTTATTTTTTAGTCATGTTTATTCTCATCATTCGCATGAAGAACACACTTTCATTTTTAAACCGTTCCTTTTTCATCTGTTTATGTAGTATAATTCTCAGTGTCAGCTATCTGATGAAGATCATTTTAACCATTTGTTCTTGTCATGAGTAAAATAGTCTAATAGTTTATATGGCCAGAGTACCCTCACTTATAAATTGTTTAAGCTTGAGTTGTAGCATTAGACCATTTAAGTTATTGTCCATGTTTTTCTTCTTTACCGATGTGGGGCTAGCAATGTCTCACCCTCTCCCACTTAACCCAGGACATCCTTGTTAGGAGATCACATGTAGCCCAGGTAAACTTAAACGTCTCCTCACCATGTTGTTGTAGGTATGCTTTGTTGTTATCCTTTGTTGAGTCAACTGAGAGGGCTATGCAAAGTTGCTCTAATATCATTTTTACAATTTCAGAAAATCATTGCTCCTACGATATGCAATGGACCTTGCCATATGATTAAAAATGCTCAAGGCCAAGTTATCAGTACTGAACCATTTGAGTTATCTGTAAACTCAATTTTTTTTATTCTACCCTTGTTGGACCTCACAATATTAAACCTCAAACAATCAATATCTACATTGTTTCCATCACAAAATGGTCGTCAATGCACTTAGTTACCGGCTATTGTGCAACGGTCATGCAAGCTTATGTCTTTTGGAATACACTTGAATAGAACAATTCTTGATATTTGTTTTCTAATGACTGCAGCAGCCAATGGTGTTGTTATTGCTACTGAGAAGAAGCTTCCTTCCATTTTGGTGGATGAGACATCAGTAAATCTCTATCAGTAGCTCATTATTCTTCTCCTAAGATATTGCATTTTTGAACATAACACTTCACTTTGAAAGTTGCATTTGCTGTTGGTTTTTGATATTATAATGTGGACAGATGTTCTCTGTTTAGCAATCCTAGTTGCGACTATTTTGGCTAGTTGATAAACTAGTCAAGGATGAAACTGGAGATTAATGTAATTTATCTGTGGGTTCTAATGTCTTCAATACAAACATTGCGTGTCAGATCGAGTTAGTGCAATTATGGTCAGGTGAGGGTTTTTATGCTGGCACTGCATCCATGCACGAGCAGAAGGTGATGCGGCATGGTAATGGTGGTCTTAATTTGAGTTTTGTTTAGGTTTTTGGATTGTCACATAAGTCAATCTAGATTGGATTTTCCATTTTTATTGTATTTAGGCTCAAGATTCATCATATTTTTTATTAGTAATAAGACTTTAGATTTAATGTGGAGTCCAATTCATTGATATTCTATTGGATGTCATAATTCCTTAATTAGAGGTTAATATGCAGATTTGTTTGGATGGCATAAGATAAGATGGCTATACTTTTAGCAACAGGTTTCCTTTTTGGAAACCAAGTGTGGTTCTAGTTGAAGTAAACTTGTGGTGCATCCATCCAGTTGTATGCTTATGTTATAAAAAGAAACATGAATTGAGAATTGCGTAGTTATGTGAGCTTGTTTGATCATGGCCTCATGATTCTGATCAGTTCTTCCCCTCTTGTTGGCTTTCCTGTAATTAAAACTCTGGAGTACTGCATGAATAATTTTGATTTCCCTTGTTAAACAATTGTTTACCATTCCTTGTCTCTTTGTTTTCCTCTCATGCAGCTTTCAATATTTTCCTTCACCTTTTACTTACCAGTCTTGTTTCTACACAGCAGCCCTAACTTATACGTTTTCATTGCATCAACATTTTGGAATGCTGTTTAAAGGCATCTGTCTTATATCTAGTTGGTATGCATGATTTTGACTAATAGGACTTCTAATATATATTGAATTGATGATTCTTCTTGAATTTGTTTAATTGTTTTTGTAATTTGTAGCTAGACATTATTTTCCTAAAAAAATAATTATCTATGTCATAGTATTTAGATCATCATCAATAGCTAAGCCATTTCCTAAGATTGGTGGGTGAACTATAATGCTCACATCAAAACTTAGGTTTCATGGAAGATTCAACAAAGCTTTATAATTGTCTCTCTAAATGTGATACTAAATTCCTAGCTATGCAAATTCATAATATCTGGTACCCTAACCAATGTGTAGGGAAGCTACCATTTTGTTGCATTTTGAGCTCATTCCTCCAAGTAGCATGTCCATAGAATTCTCCCAGACATGTAACAATTCTAGAAAAGACTAAAAAAATAAGCCTTGCTATAGTGAGCAATTATCATCTCAGGCATAAATGCCAGAGAGTTAAGCATACAATTTTTTTCTTTTTGTAACTACTAGATGCAAGCTTGAATGCAATGGAGTGATTTTTTTTTTATTGACACCTGTATTGAACTCTTTTTAGTTTGGGCTCTCGTTATATTTCCATCACAAACACTGTTTAAACTGTTTGCTGTATTATTTAATGGTTGTTATGTTTAAATATTCGATGTCCAGGTTAGTTGGCATTGCCAAACTTCATTCATGCTCTTTGTTTTTTTTTAAATCAGTTTTAGCATGCTAGTGGTTGTAAATGAGCATACATTCTGATATTTGGATATTTTTAAGTTGAAACTCCATTTATTCTTAAATTATTTTTATGTATCTATTCTTTACCTAATTTCTTTTCAACATGTTCTTTCATAATATTTTTTATTCTTTGCATAGATTACCATTTTTGTTGTATCTTTTCATACATTTAGATATGAAGATAGTTCATTCATTTTTTTTTTTTCAAAATGTAGGTCCAGAAGATTCAGCTTATGACAACAAATATTGGAGTTGTCTACAGGTGAGCAATATGTTCTGCCATTCTTTTGAAGCATTGTTCTGATATGATCTCAGATGTTTTTGCAGTTACTTGTGAATTAAAATTTGGTCTTTGTTTTTTTATTCATAATGTTCTTAGCATGTAAATAAGTTTGTCTATGCTGAGGTTACTTCTATATTTTTTTTACTTGTAGCTATCAGATTGTAGCATGCTATCTTTTTTTTTTAAAGACCTGTTTTCATGGCTAAATGATTTCCAGTTGACTCTCTAAAAGTGTTTTGTTCTTGGAAATAAAGGAATATTTAAATATTACGTCAATTTAACTTAACTAAACCATAACTATATCATAAATCCATAAGCGCGGCAATTAACGCAATCACAAAACCAACATGTACTACATGTTTATATCAGTACACAGTTTAGACTTAACATTTCCAAAATCCTGACGTAAGAGGTACTTTTCAAATATTTACAAGCTACATCAATCTAGATTTGTCATTGATATTTCATTACACCCAAAAAGAACTTATACAACATCAACCTATCAAGTACAAAATATTTGCCCCAAAATCTTCTAGTCTTCCACTGCCTCAACCCAATTTACACATTTTAGTGGGCGATAAGCTATCCTGAATTATCTTCAACCAAACTAGAAAATGAACATGCGGTATTTATAATGTCATGCCTGATTAAGCACATTACGATGCTGAACCATGTAAAATGTAATTTGCTACCACATATTGGAATATGCTGCACATCTAGCAAGTTGTAGTACTGGAAAAGTTAGTTAGCACTTGTAATATGTCTCTGCTAGATGTACCATTTGAGAAACTGAGCTGCACCAGATGCTTAAAATAGTAAAATAATCTTATTGCTCACTTATGTAAAATTAGTATGTAGCTTGTAGAAGAAATGAAGTCGATTCTTGTATATGCTACTGCTTGCATTTATCTCTTCTCTTTGGTTTTTCACTAAGACAAAAAACTAACGAGCTATTGTCCCCATATGCTGAATTTTTGTTCATCCATTTTTTTACTTCAATGCCACTTATGTTTTGCTTCTTTTGTTACAGTGGAATGGGCCCAGATTCTCGTGTTCTAGTGAGAAAAAGCAGAAAACAAGCACAACAATATTTTCGACTTTATAAGGTATCTTGTTTAAGCCTTTCACCTTCATTCTTCAGAGATGTTTTTGATTATTTTCTACAATTACAAGATGCTTCTGGACATGTAATTTTATCTTTTACTGATTGACGAAGGATATTTTGGTCCTTCATGGATCCAATAAGAACTGCAACATCTACAGATGCGACATTTGGTAGTTTATTTTTTTAACAAGAAATGTATGCTAGTCATTTATCAAATCCATTTTTGGTCCACATCTATCTTCTCTAAGGTTAAGAAAGTGCTTTTTGTTATCCAGATGTTAACGGAAGTCCTTTTTGTTACCTAACTTTGGTAGCCCCTTCACCTGATGTTATACTAGTTTTTGTTGGATCTGACGGCATGACCTCTGATTGAGATAATGTGGGTGGAGATCCAATAAGTGGCCCTAAATAGTTATATTCTCTCATCTGACGGGTGATTGAGGTGTCTGATCTGAGTTTTCTATTAAAGTTGGATCCATGCCATCTGAACTATCTGTGGTATCCCAAATTTAGTAAATGCCTGGTGGATGAGGGGGCGAATCAGCAGTGGTGTACTGTTACCTTCATTAGATCCTACCTGAACTTTTTGGTGGTATGGATAACACACGGGTATAGAGTGTATTTGTTGCTCATATGGACAACATACGGGTCATATGGATAACATATGGACCTATTAGGGAAATAGGGCCAGTCATGGGTGTGATTTGGTGCTCAAACATGGACCCATTTTGGACCTCATTTAATTTACCAATAACAAAGTATGCATACTGTCTATTTTAACTTTATATAAAATTTCTATATGTGTCTCTGCTAAATCCTAGTCCGTTATATATACATAGTGACATTCCTAGAAATTTTTGGTTGTATATCAAAATTGTTTCATGCCATGCTTTTTAGTTCTATTATTGGACCATATTTGCTTTTCACTTTATTTCTGATTGCTTTATTTAGGCATTTTGTCATTAAAGATCAAATAATTTAATTTAATGTGTAACAAATTTATTCAGTCTTTTGGACTTTTGCTATTTACAAAATTGCATATCATGCTAGAATTTGTATTAATTTTCTTCTTGCTTTTGAATCTACTGTTGGGCCACACGTGCTTTAAGTCTGATACGTTCTAACCACCCATAATTGTACCTGACCCAAAAGTAAAATTTATAAGGTCCAGTCTTGTTTCATTACCCAATTCCCCTATATGATATCTCTTTGAGTATGTGGCACCTGAACCCATCTTGACCTGATACCATATATTTGCACCAGCAGTGATCAGTCTCAGTCTATGGACAACTTTGAAATAAACAGCTGCAACTAATGAAGTATGGGATATCAGTTCCTTGATGGTGTCATGATACAAGATGTTGGTAGAGGGATCCATTAAATAATTAGGTAGCTGGTAGTTTGTCTTTACAATACGAGCTACCACCTTTCCTAGGATGACTTCTCACTTGGACTTATTTTAAGTATTGGAGGGATTACACGAGATATCACTTGAACTTATTTTAAGCAGTTGGAGGGATCTCAATTTCGCCTGTCTAAATTCTTTTTTGATTCTCCTTTATATATTTAAATGTTAGCTTAAGATGTGCATAATCAATTGTCAAAGAATGCAAATTTTGCCTGAACCGATTCATTCCAACTGGTGTCTATTAGGGTATCAACTGCTTTTAAGGCAGTCCAGTCTGCCTCACCCACCTCTGCCTGTTGCCTCCGGACCTCCTCATATTCTTTCTCCTCCTCTTCCTCTCCACGTCCACTGCCAGACCTTCATTGGTGTTCATATTTACAAAATGGTTTGACTTTTTTCTTAAAGAATCCGAAGATGATTATCAGGTAGCTTTCCTCAGAGGGGTTGTTTTTTGTGATTTCTAGTTGCTCATGCATTCTAGAAATACTGTTATCCTATTATCTAAAAATTCTTGCTTAGTGTAGCTCCTGAAGGTGGCCATCCTTCAACCATACAATATTTTAATGCTTTATTATGGTATTGTGTTCTTATTAAGGTCTGATGTATCTGAAAGATTGTTTTTTAATTTAAATCTGTCATTCTGTTCTTCTTGTCTGCTTTAGATGCCATATATGTTCATGTGGTCTATTGCCCACTTAGGAAGTGATTACATATTTTTTGTGATCGCAGGAGCCTATTCCCGTAACACAACTTGTAAGAGAAACTGCAGCTGTTATGCAGGAGTTTACACAATCTGGGTATTGTTTCAGACTTACTTGTTCTTGATTGAAAAAACAAGCATTATAAAATATAAATTGATTTTTGATGCTTAGATTAGGACAAAATTGAGATTTGGCAAATTTCAATTGATTACAAAATTGATTTGTAATGCTACTGAGCATGGTAGATATTACTCTCTTCTTTTTAGTTCACTGGCTAATTTAGGAAGGTTATTGCTACATGCTTATGTTTCTAGGAGAATTGTAGGATCATGCACCTTCTCATTCTTTCTTTGAGTTCCACTAGCAGCTCCACTTTTCTCGTTCTCTAACCTTTTCTTATTTCTTAGCAGCCTTTGCTAAAAGGCAAATAACATAGTATATGCCAAAATCTAAAGTACATTAAGTAATAATTAATGTGGGATTCATATCATTTGATGGCTCATTTCTAATTTAGCTAAGGTATTATTTTCATTTTGCTTCCTCTTTCCAATCTTTTGTTGATTATAGTGGTGTAAGACCATTTGGAGTTTCTCTGCTGGTTGCTGGATATGATGACAATGGTCCACAACTGTATCAGGTATGCATTAGCATTTCTGAATTGTTTCTATTCTATTTTGTTTATTTTGGTATAAGATTATGTGATTGTGCAACTTCTAATTGTCAGCTTCTGTACTGCTAATGATTAATTTAATTTTATATATGAGGTTTCAGAGGGTCATAGAATTTTGGTTTTTTCAACTATCTTTTTACAGGTCGATCCATCTGGTTCATACTTTTCATGGAAGGCTTCAGCAATGGGGAAGAATGTCTCTAATGCTAAAACATTTCTTGAGAAGAGGTACCTATGATATTTTATTAGTCACAACTTCTTGAATTTTGATGATTCTGGTCAATTAGTTTGTGCCTCTTGCTGCTAAATATTTTTTTGCTTCGATTTTTATTTGGTCTTAGTGCTGCTAGATAGTACTTCTTTTGAAGTTTTTGATTGCCTTCCCTAAATGGCATGGTCTTTACCATGCCACTTCTACGTTGGCACTTGACAGTGAGATTGGAGACCACTGTTTGCACCACCTCTTGTATTTTCTATGTAACTCTTGATGTGACCCTTGGAATGGAAGTCACTTGATAATTAGACATCCATATGGAAGACACTTGTTTTTAGCTGGAATTTTGTGAAATTCCAGCTTCCTTGAAACAGAAGTCTTTGCTCCATAAGTTTTTCCTTTTTAGGGTCCTTGTTTTGTTAAGGCTATAGTCGTGATTAAGCCTGTATAACCAAAGAGATTTTCCATTTAGAATTAGAGATGCATTTGAATTAAATTTAATCATTTTATATTGGCCTTGTACTGTATCTCTTAGGTTCTTTACTTGATTCTCCAAATCTATCTATTAATTGCTGTTTTCTCAGCAAAACACCTACATTTATTTTTCAATATTTTTAAATATCATCAGAACCTCTCTCGTCCATATAAAGCATAATTCATAAGTCAAGTAAATGTGACCATGTTTTAGCAGAATTTGATGGTGGGCTGTTTGCCTAACTTGATATTTTGTAATCAGTGGAGATCTTTTAATCAGTGCAAATTCAGGTTCTAAAAGAATTTGCTATTAGGCCAAAAGGTTAGTTTGGCCGGTAAGAATATCCTACCTAATTATTTTGCACTTTAGACTCATGTGATTGAGGAATACTCTCTAGTGCTTGTTAAGACTTGGAAAGGTTATGCATGATTCAATATATAACAAGTTTCCATATAGGATGCTAAGACAAACATGCTGGATAGACATTGGCTCTTATCCCAAAGGATGAATTTGGCAGAGATTCTGAGACTACTTGATATACACATTTCACTGGTTTATGATGGATGATAACTGTGTGATAATCAATCCTTGAGTTTGTCTCTTTCCTTGGGGGTGGGATTTTTCCCTTTGAACATACTTTTCTCTTGCTGATTGAATATCTTTTCTTGTCTTTTTCAGGTACACTGATGATATGGAGCTTGATGATGCTGTCCACACTGCCATCTTGACTCTAAAAGAAGGGTATCATTTCATTGTAATCTTACTCTGAAGCTCATGCATACCTTGATCATCATAAAATATATTTCTTGTAACCCTTGTAGATTTCAAGGGCAAATCTCTGGCAAGAACATTGAAATTGGAATAGTGGGTGCTGACCGAAAGTTCAGGTACTACATTGAAGCTGTAGCATATGTATTATGGTTAAATTAGCTCCTCAATTATAGAATTAAACTTTTTAAATATGAAAAACTAATTGCTTATAAGTGTTATTTTCATACTTTTTACTCTGTTGCATTGAAAAATCCAGATGGTTATGGTGATACTGGTCTCTTTTCAATCTTCCTAATTAATTAACTCTTTTTTGTTAACTAATATATTTTTATTTATTTCCTAAACCATCTACCCTTATTAGAAGTTTTAGTCAACAATTAATTAATGTTTTCTATCTTTAATATCCTCAAATAAGATATTATCGTTTTATTATAGGAATTACTAACTAATTGCTGATTGGGATGAATGGTTTATGAAGTTAATAATGATATCTTAGTTAAGAAGCTAAAAAGATTTAATTACTTGTGGCAATTACATATTTAGGGCTGGTGATCTTAGTCAAATTTTGAATCAATTCATGTTCCACTCCCAAATCTGCCCATTTTTGCTCACTTGCAAGAATATAATGCTGTATGGGTTAAAGGTTTTCTTTCCCTGTTAGTTTTGTTGATTCCTATTGCTTGATCTGCAGACTGCAAAGTGCATCCTTACCATTCGATCTGTAAAATTGTCCTGGACATTATTCCCCTAACCTACTTGTTTTGCATCTTCTAACAAATTTATGAATACTTGTCACATCCAATTTTCCTAGCCTGACATCTATATAAACACCAAGTTTGTTGACCGTAGCCAAGATTATAAACACCATTGGATGGGTCAAGTCTTTTAGCATTAACCGTTTGAATTTTACCTCTAGGGTTAATTTATCATGGTGATTGTTCGTATGAGATGCATTACAGATTCAAGAAACAACTTACGTACAAAGCATCATTGAAATTTTTTTCTTAAAAATAGTATGTTATTATGTGATTTCATAAAAAGGGATAATGCGTCACATCTGTCAAAGGATTACTCCCTTGGGCCTCCTTGTTACATGTCATGTATATGATCTGATATTTTCTGTGTTGCAGAGTACTTTCACCAGCTGAAATCCATGATTATTTGGCGGAGGTGGAGTAGTTGTCTTTGTTTCATATGGCCCACCCACATAATATGCAGTTGCTCCCACACCCAGCCGCTAGGATTTTAATGCCTGTCGATGCTCGTCTTGAGATGTTCCCGAATTTAACCGAGATCGTCATTTGATGTGAGACAGCAGTTACTTATTTGTTATGATCCGATTCAAATGTCATGCCGTGTGCCTCAATGTGCTCAAAATTTTTAGCTCCGGCATGTGGAAAATTTTCAATTTATTTCTTTATAGATGTGGGTTACGCGTGAGAGTAGATCTCGTAATTTTGGCTTTGATAAATTTCATTAGCTAATTAAAACATGTTGAACATCATCGCTGGTCACTGCAGTGAAGCCGTGATTAGTCATTGTTTTCTAGATAAAATCTTAAATCTTATAAATTTCTGCTTATCTTAACTATTTGTCCGAGTACGAGTGGTACTCATCATTGATGACCTCTAACCTCATTTTAGAGACAGACAGAGGCATTTGGATGAAAAATCTCCTTCAAAATCTGGTAGAACCAGATGTATTAGCAGATATTGCAGACGAAACACTGGTCTGCAATCTTCGCCCGATGGGAGCACAAATGTCGATATGTACCAGCCTAAGTCTGACCAAATTCTCGAAACAGTCCTCGAGGAAAGATAATGATGTGAAGAATTCGTCGTTCCCACGAAAAAAAGAAAACTGGACAGTTTGAGCAGCGTAAACGACAAGATGGAATTCAAGCGCTGATCGTCCACGTTGTTGGACGCCGGCGCCTAATCCACAACACGCTGAAGCACCACGTGGTCCGCACGTGCTTGAAACGACGGTTGTGGTGTGCTTGGATGGGTTGGTGTTTGCTCTCCACTCCGAAGCAGATAGCCGCCACCAGTGTTTCCGTCTTCGCCGCTGGAGCCCACCTCTCGTGCGCCAACGTTGACACCAGCTCGCCCGCGACGAGTTCGTCGTGGACTACCTCCGCAAGAAGCACGGCTACGGCAAGTAGGTCATCCCCCTCTTCCCAGATGGCTTTGGTCCCGTCCTCCGCCGTCGGATCCCCTCTGATCGCGGAGGTCGACATGGGAGGCTCCGATCCCTCCTCCACCGTCCGCGCCACCGTCGTGCAGGCCTCCACCGTCTTCTACGACACCCCCGCCACCCTTGGTAACTTTTTATGCTGCATCTCGTGATTCTTTTCGGTCTTCTGTGGCGCTTTTGATTTTGAGATGAAGCGGTTCTTGATTTCTTGTCCGCTGCTTTTAGCTGTTTATGGAGCGCTTTGCATTTCGTCGTGAACTCCGCGGGTACAAATCGTTACAGTGATCGAACCCCAATCGTTATTGTTGATGTTCCCCTTTGCTCCGTGTGATACATGAATTCTCGAAGTTGGATGTAAACATAATACAGGTACAAATCAAAGCGTGGTGAAGAGGATGTGAGATCTTGAACCATAGATATGCTTGTAAGGGGACTGTGAGATTAGAGGGTTTTATAGCATTTTCATCTCTATTATAGGTTTGCAAAACAGCTCTGCAGTGTGGATGTGGAGCCAAGTCCTCTTCTATAGAGCACGCTGACTGATTTGCCAACTGTTGCCTTTTTCGTAGGACTGCAGAAATTTCGTGAGGTCATTTGAAAAAGGAGGACAGACAAGGAGGGATCGACAGGATTTCTTTTACCAACTTCTACTTCCAAAATTTAATTTTAAATTAGCCAGATTCGTTGTTTTCGCATTTGTCTTGTAAGATCAGTCATTAGGTGTATAGCACAGCGCATTCAGCACCAAGTGAAATCATAGAGGAATGTATAATTTTGGATTAGTATCAGTTCATGTGCTGAAAATCTCTATGAAGGGCTGGCTACACATGATCTTGAGAATGTCTCTGTGCTACATTGCTTAGTCTGTATGATTTTATAGATGATTATGCCAATCCTAACTTTGATTTTGTATCCATCAAATGGAAGCAATTTTTTTTTTCTTCTGCCCTTCTTGAGTTCCTGTTGCTGATTCTGGCATAATGTCTTGCAGATAAGGCAGAGAGGCTGGTTGCAGAAGCTGCTTCATATGGGTCACAGTTAGTTGTTTTCCCTGAAGCATTCATTGGCGGATATCCTCGTGGTTCTACATATGGTGTCACTATAGGTAGCCGTTCAGCCAAGGGACAGGAGGAATTTCGGAAGTATCATGCTGCTGCAATTGATGTGCCTGGTATCATCTAATACTATGTGGATGCCATTTGATATATGAAATAAAAACGACTAGAGATTGTTGACATGTTAATATTTGATATACTTTTGGCATGTAGATCATGGTTTACAAGATGTAGATCATGTGAACGGATGATGGCCTTTTTCTAGCCATTGTCATTTGCGAATTCGTAGGATGGATTTTCATGAAAGCTTTTAGCCATATGGTTGTCTGATTCTGACAATGTTAAGTATGCAGGCCCTGAGGTTGATCGCTTGGCAGCATTGGCCGGGAAATATAAGATCTTTCTGGTCATGGGTGTCATTGAGAGGGCTGGATATACACTTTATTGTACGGTCCTTTTCTTTGATCCTCAGGGTCAATACCTCGGAAAACACCGCAAACTCATGCCTACAGCACTAGAACGTATAATATGGGGCTTTGGAGATGGATCAACTATTCCAGTTTTTGAAACACCTATGGGAAAGATAGGTGCACTTATATGCTGGGAAAATAGAATGCCACTTCTGAGAACGGCATTGTATGGTAAAGGTAAGTTTCTCCATATATGTTTTATATTCCAATGGAATGACTATCCTGAATGCCATTTCTTTTTTATTTTGCTGAATATCCTCCAAGATGTGTTGAATGTTTTATTTCTCTGGCATGTTTTACTTAGTTGGATGATCGGCCATATACTGGAATATCTGTAAAGCTCTAGTTCCTATCCATTTGGCCAAAAAGGAGTTGAATTATATTGTGTTTTTTAGGTTATTTTAAACCAGTGTAAGGGCACAAACTTGAACTGATGTAATTTAGGCAAGGAAATCTATCTTCATTTTTGCTCGAACTGATATATGAAACTTGTCTAACAAACTTAAGCAAAAGCTTCAACTAATGGTAAAGTTATTAGATTAGACACTTATACGTTGCCAGAATCATTAAATATTCAACTAAACATTAAAACAAATTAAAATCGTGATGTTCATACCCAATAAAAGTTGTGACCCTTTTGTAATGTGAAATATAAAGGGAGTTTTAGATGGCTCTAGGTCAATATCACGACTAGATGTAGAATGAAGGTAGAAGAAAAGACGAAAATAAACAAACAAAGTGTTTTGCTTATATGTACAATGAAGCTAGAAGATATACAATGAAGTTGACTGACAGAGGATGATAGGTAAATTATCTTTATTTGTTGTGATATACATCAAAGAATGAAGGAGCCATGAGAATGTTTTCAACTCATATATATTTGAATGCTGTGTTGCCTTCCAGCATGTTGGCTTTTGGCTGGCAGGGGTCTGTAAAATGTAGATATTTGTGGCTTGCTTATGATTGTTTATCAAATATGAGTTCACAAAACGGGGACAAGGCTTGATCCTTTTGCAATATAGATTTTAGTGTGGAAAAGAATCTCTTCGAAGATCTTTCTTATGATTGTTAAACATTTTCAGCATGCATTTCATTTGTCTTGACGTAGTGTCATTTGGTGGTCATTTTTTGCATTTGTTGATGGGATATGCTTATACTGCGTTTAACATTGATAAAAAATTTTATTTTATTAATAATCCATCAATCAGATGGTGTGCTTTTGTAGAAGGAAAAAAGAAAAGAAAGAAGAAACAAATCCTTTACTGTTGCCTGTACCATTGTTCTGCAGGCGTCGAAATATATTGTGCTCCCACAGCAGATGCCAGGGATGTTTGGCAAGCTTCCATGGTGCATATTGCTCTTGAGGGTGGCTGCTTTGTGCTGTCCGCAAACCAGTTTTGCAGGAGAAAGGACTATCCTCCACCACCTGACTATGTCTTTGCAGGTGCAGAGGAAGAACCATCGATGGATTCTGTTGTGTGTGCTGGAGGAAGCGTCATCGTTTCACCATCAGGCGCAGTCTTGGCTGGTCCCAACTACGAAGGAGAGGCCCTCATCTCAGCAGATCTAGGTATGAAAATTACTGCATAAAGATAACACTTGAACATTTTGTCATCTGGAATGAGGCCATGAATTAAAAGATATTTGCACATTTTTACCTGGATTTGTTCAGATGAAGTAGAACGTGAAAACATGAAGGTATACGAAAAGCAAACTTTCAGACCTAGATCTGCATATTAATTCATGCAGAAAAAAATAGCATATATAACATTTGATTTGTTCAGACAAGGAAAATGAAACTTTGCAGTTGCAAACAGAAGTAAAATGTGAAAGACATGTAAGTATATGAAAATCAACCTTCACAACCTAGATCTGCATATTAATTCATGTGGAAAAATATAGCTTATAACATCAGCAATCTATATTCCACATCTTGAGCAGGATGAATGATGCAATGAAATGGGAATAGTTAGGAATGGTCCTTTACCTGTGAAAACTCAACAGTTGAATTCTGTACTCCATATTTTCATTACCTTGCATCTAAACAAAAGATAAGTCTCTTACCGCATGATATGTAGATCTTGGAGAAATCGTGCGAGCCAAGTTTGTTTTCGATGTGGTTGGACACTACTCGAGGCCTGAGGTGCTGAGCCTGACTGTGAAAGAAGATCCACATTACCCCGTCTCCTTCACATCTGCTGAGAAGACTGAAAGCACACAGAAATGACACCACTTATGTTTTCTGTAATCTGCAGACCACCACTGTAAGTGGTTGCAATCTTTATCCTTACAGATTGTGTGTTTTATAGTGGCAACCGATTCATATCGTCTTTTGTGCAGAAGACTATTAGCTCTGAACGTTCTGTTGACCCAATGTTGTGTACATTTAAACATGATCAAAATTTGAAGCAGACTTTTCTTGTGTCTGCCGATTGATGTTTTACTACCACTGCATCTTGGATTGAGCTTCAAGTATGCTCCAGCCCCTCTTCCTTGAACCTTCGAGATCAGCTTGCCAACACCATGGCAATCACTGCATACTCTGAGCTGCTTCTTGATGACGGTAATGGCAGCCTCGGAGCTCGTTTTCAAGAGCCCCGAAAGCAATGGTCAACTTCTCACCATACACAGACACCGCTTGCTCCTCTTCCTTTGTTTTATCTCCATCAGCTTGAGGCAGAACTTGGTGTGCCATTGGGTTCTATCATGCTCATACCAGGCGTCTTGGCTACTCCATTTATCAGCATCCTGCCTCTGACTTCCTTGGCATCATCCCAGCGACCGGCTGTCGCGTAGATGTTGGATAGCAGGACGTACCTGTCGAACAAAATTGATAGGATCATCTAAACCAGCATCATGAGAATCCACATCACAATATCTGTGGAGTTACCGGCCGCTGTGCCCCGGTTGAAGGTGAAGAAGGTGTCTGCCAACACCATCTGCAACCTCGCAGTTCCTGTGAATCCTGCACCCACCAAGCAGAGCCCCCAAGGCAGGCGCGCTGGGCTCCATCGGCATCGCTCTTGTAAGCTCCGCTGCCTCCTCGAACAAGCCCGCGCGTGCCAAGAGATCGATGACGCATCCATAGTGCTCCAGCTTCGGATCGATTCCATGGCTATCCTTCATGCAGCTCAGCATCCGCCTGCCTTCTTTCACCATTCCCGCGTGACTACAGGCGGTGAGAACCATCACGAACGTGATGTCGTCCGGCCTCACGCCGCTCTTGGTCATTTCATCAAACAGCTGAAGCGCTTCATCAGCACGTCCGTGGATGGCCATTCCGCCGATGATTGCGTTCCATGCAAGCAGATCCTTTTGCTCGATGGCGTAGAAGATCTCCGCTGCGCGTGATATGCTTCCGCACTTCGCGTACATGTCTACCAAAGCGGTGCTCAGGATGGTATTGAGCTTTATCTTGTGCTCTGCCATGGATGCGTGGAGTTGCTCCCCTTGATCCAAAGCTCCCGAGTGCGCGCAGGCTGATAACAAGCTCACCATCGTCGCGTCGGTCGGCTTCTCGTCGGTGCGCCTCATCTCATCGAATAGCGCAAGAGCTTCTTCGGAGCACCCGCTTTGCGCTAGACACGCCAACATCGTGTTCCACGAGATGATGTCGCGCTTCGGCATCTCGGCGAACACCGTGCGAGCCCCCTCGACATCCCCGCATTTCGCGTGAGCGGCGAGCATGGAGTTCCAGGAAACCACATTCCTCTGGGGCATTCCGGCGAACAGCTTTCGCGCCTCGCTCAAGTCCCCCAGAATCGCACAACCATTAATCATCGTGTTCCACGAGACAACATCCTTGCGCTCCATCCTATCGAAGACGCCCCGCGCGAGGGCCAACTCTCCGGCTTTGACGTACCCGTCGATCATCGCATTCCGGCAGACGGTCTCCCGGTCGTCGCACTGGTCGAACACCCGGCGAGCGGCGCCAAGATCCTTACACTCGGAGTACGCATGAATCAAGGCACTCTGTATGTAAGGATCGAGCTCCAGCCCGGTCTTCACGATTCGCGCATGCGCGGCGCAACCGTACGATTCCGACGCGCACGCTGCGCATGCCTTGAGAAGGAACGGGTACGTGAAGTTGTTGGGTAGAAAGCCTCCGCGGAGCATGGAACGGAAGACACGGATGGCTTCGTGAGGGTTCTCGCCAGAGGAGAGGCCTCGAATAAAGGTGTTCCAGTGGAGAACCGAGGCTCGAAGGAATTGAGAGAAGAGGGATTTGGCGTAGGAGGCGCCGCCATGAGCGGCGAGGGGATAAAGGGAGAGGAGCGTGCCGGCGGTGGAGGAGGAGAGAGACGGGTCGAGCTTGAGGAGGCGAGCGTGGGCTCGCTCGAGGTGTCGGAGACTGGGGGAGCGGAGATGCATGAGGCGGCTTAGGGAGCCGACGGCTGAGAATTCCTTAGTGGGTTGGAACGAACGACTTATCACCGTCGATCTGGATTCTGGCCCTTGATTTGATGGAGCCTGTTCGATTAATGGAATCAACAGAGCGAACACATCAATCTTCCATCCCTCCGAATCGGTGATCTCCTACTGGAATATGAAAAGCATCCGTAAGATGTCATGGGCGAGCATGTGACACATATTGGACTGCACTCAGAGATCACCTGTTTTCTGTGGCACAAGCTGAAGAACACCAAACGTACTTATCGCGTCGATTGAAAAGGCAGAGGATACGCGAGGAGTCGTCGTCGCAACGTGAGATTGAAGACAAGGGAGATCGCCTTGCATGTCAAACCAGGAAGGAGTAGGAGCTCCAGTTTGCTCCAGCTTACCAGCAAATGCACACAGAAGCAGGAGCTGACTCATCAAGAAAAATAGATTTAAAATGTCCTGCAAAGAGCGAGTTCAGATTTCATAAAAACGACAATGATTCATTCATCTAACACTTTGATATTTGAGCTACAGAGATCCCTTTGATTCAGAGACTACAAAACAGGTCTCTTCCTGAACCACCATATATGGTAGCAGCAGATGTTTGTGCCATGGAATGCGTAAGATGTGAAAACATCATACCGTATATTACGCTGCTGCTTGCAAATTGCTGATCGATAGTTCAAATATGTGGTCATTCCAGTCACTCTTCTTTGAGGATGCAAGAGTGCTCGCTCCAAAACTTGGGGCCTATTATATCCATGTGTTCCACAACCACCTTGCTTCGAGTTCTCGTGACAGGATTTCCAGTATCATCCAACTTCACCACTTCTTCCACCTATAAGAATCAGAATGCACATAACAGAAAGGTCAGCGGAGATGCAATGCCGGTAGATGCAATGTCGATGGCTCTCTTCGTTGTCCACCGGCGATGCTCAACATCTCAGACGCATCCGATCCAGTACCAAATCCGGATCACAAACTATGGTTACGCCAGGATCGCCTCATCCTTCAAGCAATTCAAGCCTCGGTCGCTGGATCCCTTGCCCCACTCATTTCTTCATGTGACACTGCTGCCGAAGCTTGGTGCAAGTTGCAAACCACCTTGGCCAATCGTTTTCGCACTCGCATGCTTAGTCTTCTATCCAGCCTCATGAAGATAAAACAAGAGGGAAGATGGTGTAAAGCTATAGATTTCTATGCAGCAGTTCTATAGGAGGGACTCTGGGCAATGATGCAGCCAGTGGCGTGATCAGCTTTGTGCAAGACAACTGCAGATCTGTGTGCAATAGATCAGCAGTGAGGAATCTTGGCAATGAGGCAGCAACGTGGAAAGTTACCGAAGGCTGCTTGTCTCTACGAAGGCAAAGCAGGATGCTGGCTGTTGGGAGGCCTGCACCCAGAAGGTCCTCTCGGAAGTAGTGAGGATAATGTTGCCGGAGTCGAGGACAGCGGTGGCGGAGGGAGAAGGCCAGGAGCTGGTCGATGGACCAACACGCGGAAGCAGAGCAGATCTGGAAGATCTGGAGCAGAGGGTCAGTGACGGGGTGCTGGCGGCGATGAAAGGTGGGAAGATGATGATGCAGCAACAGCTTCCATGGCCTGACGTGAAGCTGATGGGTGAGGTTGAAAGACTCAAAGAGGAGAACGCCACTATGATACCATGATAGAATGAGAAAATAAAGAATGAAATTATAAGGATAAAACAAAAAGACACACTTCAATTAGTGTCATGTGAAGTCTATTTATACATAGTGAAAGAGGATATTTCTTTAACTGAGCAGAGAGATTTCCTCATGCAGTTGAGGAAATCTCATCTGCTATGCAGTTGAGAATATCTCTCTTTTATCAGAGAAAATCTCTCTGTTATCACAACATACTAAAGATCTAACAACTCCAAAAATAAAACATGGCAGCAGCTATCTATGGAGGCGCAGCAGCAGCATGATTCATGAAGTCGATAATGACTGGATAATAGGATCCTAATAACACCAAAAACCTCCAGGAGCCAGCTTAGGAGCTCAACATACTAAAGATCTAACAACTCCATAAATAAAACATGGCAGCAGCTATCTATGGAGGCGCAGCAGCAGCATGATTCATGAAGTCGATAATGACTCGATAATAGGATCCTAATAACACCAAAAACCTCCAGGAGCCAGCTTAGGAGCTCAACATACTAAAGATCTAACAACTCCATAAATAAAACATGGCAGCAGCTATCTATGGAGGCGCAGCAGCAACATGATTCGTGAAGTCGATAATGACTCGATAAGCATACGTTCTCCTGTCTGTAACATCGTCGTAATGGTGAACTGCTACAACAAAATGTTCAATAGGACTGGTCACTCAGATCCTTTTTCCTTTAAACTCAGAAAGGACAACTCCAGACAAATGGCATCACCAAACTACTTTGGAAGGCTAACAAATGCATATCCATCACAGAAACATTTAGAAGAATCTCTTGAGAAGCACATGCATCCCTCACAACAAGAGGGTATTCCTTTATCTAACCAGCGAAACATACACAGCGATAATTTTTTTGAATGACCAACATGACAAAAGAAAAGCAAGATTTGATTTACCTTTTTTCTGTAAATACAAGATCCTTTTCGGAACATTTGAGGTAGCTTATCATAATTAACATTGAACTGTTGAAAAAGCAGCTCATTCTTATCTTTTGCTTGTGTGCCCTGTAAAACTACGACAATATGAATTCTGAAACCATGTAGAAAATTTTGAGCATAAATAAATCATTCCTAAATTACAAAGATAATTGTATGAGAAATATGAACAAAAAAAAAAAGTTCCAACACCATGAATGCTAAAATTGTATTAGTAATTAAAATGCGAAAAAAAAAAAGAACAATCATACTCTTTCATGTTTGTGGAATATTTTAAATATTTCTTGTTCCAGAAGGACAAACTTATATTAGTAATGATTATCATCAGCGTTCAAATATCCAAAATAGAGTAAAAAATGATATTTACAATATCACATGCTTAAGCTAATACTTTACTCCAGCTTTTACAAAACTTGTATAAGCATCATCAGGGTCATCAAAACCCAATACAAGAAGCCTAATCCTGACCATTGGAATTGTTGACAACGTCATCCACATGAAATTTACAGATTCCAAGTACCTAATAGTGTGACATCTCTTGGAATGCTTATCAACATGAAGTCCACGAACAAAAGTATTGCTCAAAATTGGATGACTAACGTTGTTAGAAACATATCATATTATTCACAGAACATAATGAACCTGTTTTAGAGTGCAGTTAGAAAGGTTGTGCACTAAAGAAATTAAATCCTGTTCATGGGCCACAATGATATTTTAAATAAAGATACATCTCTTGAGATTAACTCAAGCCAGTCATGATCAGTAGCTCAAGAAGTAACCACATGATAAAGATTTCCTATGCACTGGGTGAAAAATATATGATGGAGATCTCAGTAAGGATGGCATGAATGTAATCCTTAGCCCAAATTCCACATGCTTAAATTTTGACTGATTACAAATCGTTTCGTCAATGAGTTTTGCATATATCATGATTAATGATATGTACTAAATAGATCCAACACCTTTTAGTTACAAAATTTTGTGGCCCCAAAAGAACAGGTAACAGAAGCATCTGGCAGTTCTATAGATAATGTGGCTACAATAAGCAGAATTGTTTAATCCATTTACCTAAAAGGTAAACTCTTCAGAAATCTTATTTAATTAAAGACTTATTATGCCGTTCCCATAGCATAAAAGTTTGTGCAGCTAACTTACAACGTGAAAGAAAAAGGTTTTCCAAACCAGTTCGAGGCAAATGAACCAATGCATACAAACAACAACAAAGTCATAAGTCCCAACTATTTGAGGTCGGCTACATGGTTCTTTTACCGCCATTGTGATAAGTAAAAAGCTATATATTTAGTTAAATTAGCTGCAAAGGAACCAATGCATACCTTTAAAAATTCCTGTGCTTCCCTCTCGGTCTTTCCTGACTTAACTAACATCCAGAAAAATGTATTATATTGATTGTTTATGCTTGGCATGCTTGATTTATGTGTGGAAGTGAATGTGGCTTGGCATGCTTGATTTATGCAGTAACTTCCAACACGTTTTCCCATAAATCCTTAAAGTGATATAATTCTTTCGTTAGTGCACTTACAGTCCACCTGCCTCCATGCCAGATAATACTGAACAAGTTTTGCTCTTGGGTAGCATACAACTCGTCCATCAAAATGAGGTACTTTCAGTTCCTCGTGAGGAAAAAAATCTTGCCACTTCATCACATAGACAGATGTGAATTAGGATACACTAAGTGAAAGTAATTTGCTGCATTGAGATTATCTAAAGCAACTGGTCACTGAGTGAAAGTATAATATATTGTAAATGCACGAAAACATTTAATTTAGAACCTTAGAACCTTTTTCTCTATGAATTAGGTTACAACAAAACATAAAAGAGTTATGTGAACATGTATAATGCTGTATACGAAAACAAAAGGAATGTAAAAGTAACCTTGCCCGTCTTTGGTAAAACTGAGTAGTTTCCTTCCATATAAAACTGCAAAAGGATACCTTAGGTGATAAAAGAAAATCATACTGGATTAATCGAAGTCTTGTAATAGGATAATCAGTTGAAATGTTTACTTTTTGATCCATTATGGCCACAAACTAATAAGATCTCAAATAAGAGGTCATTATGCTAATTCATTCTAGTTACTGTCTCCTTATTGGCAAAGAAAACGCACAGTGCATATTGTATGCAATGCCTTTGGTTTTACTGCATAATGAAGTCATGGACCTAAAGATGGAACTGTAGCTAGGAGAAGAAATTTCATCCTTTGATCATTTTGAATAGCCAAATCAAGCTCATGCAATAATGTTACCTGAAAGAAATTTATCAGACATGTGATTACAAGAAACACATGAGCCCTATGTGGTACATATTCTGAGTAAAATCCTTTAATACCAAAGGTGATACACACCAATAAATAACACATAGGATTCGGATATATCAGAGACATGGAGTAAAGGCCATACCTATATTCATCACTGACACCATATGCAAACACTATGTCAGGAAATTGTTCTAGCATAGAGACTGCACATGAGTTCATCAAATTCAAAGCATTCTCATCATTGGGCTTTGCAAATGCATGTTCTGCAGAAAATCTGATCAAGAGAATATCAGAACTAAACATGGAATAATTATGGAATAAGAGGAACTACAGAGGAAAAGAAAAAGAAAAATCTAACCAACTTTGACCAAATACTCCATAGACATTTTAAACCTACCATCATGAGTATATAACAAAATGGACAACAAACACCAGATTGAATATGACAACAATCAAATATCAAGAATATTTATTTACCTGTACACAATGAAAGGATAACCTATTAATTTTTTTGTTCTACATATAAAGGCATCTGGTCATGGGAAAAATAACCTGGTTAAACAGAGAAGGAGAGCCTTCAAACCATGGCAAATACAAAAGTTGGGTTTTAGGAATCAGGAATATGGAAGCAGAGACTCTGCTTGAAGAATGTAGCAGGCTACCTTATTAGCTGGGGCCTTGTGCATCAGGCTACCCTTATTTAGGTATTTGCTACACAAAAATAACATAATCATGAAATCAATATTTCAATATGGAACTCTTTTTGTTATTTCAGCATGTTCCCTCCTCTATCCATTCTATTATTCTTAACTCATTAGATTTGTAATTCTAACTGAGAATTGTATGTTAAAGCTGTCCAACGTATGTTACTATGGCTAATTATTCTGTAGTGCAATGCAGTTTAAGGCTAGTTATTCTAAAGGACAATGCGTGAAGTGACCTTCACCATTATTACCGACCCTTAGGATGAGCATCTACATACTTCTATTCCTTAGGTAAGGACGTTTCGGAAGAAGATGCATCCAAGGAGTTCCTTTTAGGTATTTAAAAATCCTTTTGACAGCTTTTAAATGAGATTGCTTGGGTTAGATTGAAATCTAGCACAAAGTCTTATACTAAACATGATATCCGGTCTAGTTGCAGTGAGGTATAGCAAACTACTTATCATACCCCTATAAGCTTTTTGATCAAAGCTTTCTCCACCTTCGTCAATGTCTAACTTAGTGGAGGTACTCATAGGAGTATTGATATCGTTTGAACTGTCAATATTAAATCGTTTTAACAAGTCTAATGCATATTTTGTTTGACTAATAAAAATACCATCCTTAAGTTGTTTGATTTGTAAGCCTAAAAAGAAGGTTAGTTCCCCCATTAGGCTCATTTCAAACTCTAGACTCATGCTTTTGACAAACGATTCACATAAGGATTCATTTGTAGAGCCAAAAATAATGTCATCAACATAAATTTGAACAATAAGAAAATCATTTTCAAAATTTTTGATAAACAATGTGGCATCGACCTTGCCTTTAGAGAAATTATTTTAAATAAGAAAAGAGCTAAGTTTCTCATACCAAGCCCTTGGGGCTTGTTTTAAATCATAGAGAGCTTTAGTCAATTTACACATATGATTGGGGAACTTATCATTCTCAAATCTGGGGGGTTGTTCAATATAAACTTCTTCGAAAATAAAGCCATTAAGAAAAGTAATTTTAACATCCATTTGAAACAACTTAAAATTATTACTACTAGCATAGGCAAGGAGCATCCTTATGACTTCTAATCGTGTCACAGGAGCGAAGGTTTCTTCATAATCGATACATTCTTCTTGGTTGAAACCTTTGGCCACTAATCTAGCCTTATTTTGAACCATGATACCAAATTCATTTTGCTTGTTTCTAAAGATCCATTTAGTACCAATAACTAAATGGTAATTTGGCTTTGGAACAAGCTTCCACACCTCATTTCTCTCAAATTGATTCAACTCTTTTTGCATTGTAATAATCTACAGATCCACAACTCAAAATCTAACATTTTAATAAACTAATTTGGTAGAGAATCTGAGTGCAACTATAAAAGCCATAATTTTGAGATAAGAAACAAAAGCTATAAAGAAGACTTAATAGGCACAAAGATTAGCTACACCCATACTAGGGTAAAAATGTACTCTGAAAAAGTTGCCTCACTGGTGAAAATGACATCCATCAATTCTGACAACAATCCAACTGGAGGGAGACAGTCTGTCATCGGTTTCAAATTTCTTGACATACTCATACTTGCTATTCGCCATTTGATTAAATTAGCACCTAGAGAAGATGCCGTCCAAAGAAGCTAAGACTAGCCCAACATATTACACAAAGAACACGCAACACCTTAACACTGTTACTACATTAAATAAGAGATCAGAAAAACCATATCATCTAAAAAAGATTTCATTGTGAACTTTCATCGAACAGGTGATATACAACAGATAATTGAGTTTCTTATATGCATGAACATGTTGAATTGTCCTAGTGCGACGCCGGTCGCCTCGTTAGGGTTAAGACTTACGTAAGCAACGGGGGGTGGCGCGGCGGCATCTAGGGCGGCCGACCAGAACGCGATTGCAAGAGTAGCAACCGAGAGAGAGACGGGCAGAGGAGCGGGGACCAGGAATGGGGCCGGACTTTTATAGTAACAAATGTCCTTTTACATATATACCCCTATCGACTTCCCCAATCTGGTCCGTATATTTTGATGTACTTATGGGGATTGACATGTCTATTTCCGTCCAGTTTGGAAATAAGCTATTTTACCGTTGTACATTTTGATATAGAAAATATGTCCTTAAGTGTAAAGGATTGATCGAGTGATGGTGATGATGACGATGATACTGTTTCTTGGACACATAAAAGGAGATGCCTCCCTTTACATGCATTCCTGCCGCACGGGTTGCCATGAATCTGCAGTGGATCTCCTCTCTCTTCAGGTCACTCGGTGGTTGGTAGGAAGAAGGGGCCTTTCGCCATGAGGATGGAGTCCATGGCTTACCAACCTCCCCATACCTCTATCGTCTTCCTCCGTCTCCCACCAACCCCCCCGGCATCTTCTCCTCCACGTTCTAAGAGTCCTGCAACTTTTCTCTGCCCGAGAACCATTGAAGACCACAAACGAATCGTTACTGTCTCTCTCTCGCGCGCGGCCATTAAAATACGGTCACGGTAGCCTGAGCCCTCGAGAAACACAGAGAGAGAGAGAGAGGAGTGTAACGTGTCACGTGATGAGATGGCCAGAGCGTCGTCCACGTTTCCTTCTCG